ACAAATAGTGGTAGAATTAAAAATAGGAAAATGAATAAAAATAAAACAATAACCAGTCTCTACAACCATTTTAAAAACACTTCTGAAAAAATAAATCTATATAAACAAGATAAAAAATGCTTCAATTGTCAGGGGGATACAGAGGGATATTTTTGAGTTAGTAAACAAGGAAATAGTTATTGTCTAAATTGTAATTCTAACAATTACGGAGATAAGGAACCTGAAATTAATACGGTTTTTAACGGAACTGCTTGGGCTAATATGATAGTTCAAAGATGTAAAGATAAAGGTTTGCATTTTACCAAAACTATTAATTATGAGGCTATGACTTACAGTTTCAAAAACCTCGATGGGCGACCTACCAAAAATGTAATGTGTGCTTATTGCCAAACTCACTCTTATGAGTATGAAACCGTAAAAAAAGGAAACCATGAACGAAAATAAAACAACAACTCTCTACGAACACTACAAAAATACTCCCAAAAAACTAAAAATAGTTTGTGATTGGGACGAAGTAATTCAAGCTTGTGAGCCTTATGCTTTAAACTTGGCAGACAAAGAATTTTGAGGGACAGAAGATAAAAATTGATTAGAAAACTTTTGAGAAGATATCAATGATGGCAAAGGAGTTCAATTTTCTCCTTATGGTTCTCAATTAAAAGGTTTTTACAAAGAATTGACGGAGAAACAACAAGAAATCAAAAACTCCCCAGACTTTTACCGAAAAGCACCATTTTTAACCATTGCTGAGGATTTGTTGAAACTGATAAAAGAGGATAAAGTTGAGAAATTGATATTCTTATCTGCTTATGATAAAAGGAAATTTCCTAATGCAGATTATAGGAAAGTTAATATTTTTGTGAAGACTTTTTTTAAATTGGTTACTTCTGCTAAATATGAATTTAGACTGGAATTAATTCATTTTGATAGTGAAATACGAAGTTCTGAAAGAACAAGTATTGTCGGAGACCAAACCCAAGGACAAAGTAAAGCCGATTGAATTAAAAAAAAGTTTTCTGATTTTGATTTAGTAATAGATGACAATCCTAATATTTGTCGGAGCATACTCAATGAATTTATCTCTTTTGGATTGTGTCGAGATTGTCGAAAAGAAAATAAAAAAGATTGTGTTAGATGCCCAAAAGAATTATCGATAGTTTGCTCTCCTTATTATCCAGCCATCGAAAAACAGCACGATGAAAGAGTATTATTATTACAAAGTGCAAAATTATTTTCCACTTTTTTATTATCAAGAAAGGAAAGATATTAACAAAATTAATATTTTCTGATAATCTTGCCTTCAAAAACGGACATTTAATTTGCACACAGTAATAGTAAAGCAAGAAGTAAGTAATTTAAAAAAAGAGGATTTTAATTAAATCTAGTCATTTTCAAATATCGTTCCGCCGGCTCTATTCGGCAAAAAACCCTTTTTTGTCCTCGCCTTCCCATCGTTCCTTCCATTTCGAAGCAGCAAAAAAAGTAAGGGTAAGGGTCGTTTTCACCCTAAAAAACTATTTTAAAATATGTAGTAGGCAGTTGCCTACTCAATTTTAATTTTTTTACCTACAACGCCCTAGCCTGACCCCTTTTTCTTCGAAAAAGGAAACGAGAGGCGACTCCCGCGACCTTATAATAATGGATTAAAATTATTAATATGCTACAATTACAAATAACTTATAAGGATGGAGAAGTCCGAAATA